TGGTGTCCCTTCTTGAATAGGGGTACAACAACCCCGTTCTCCAGTCCGCTGGGTCTTCCCCGTAGTCATTGCAGCTTGACAAACACGTATAAGCCAGCACATGCCTTATTCGCCTAATGCCTTGAGCATCTCAGGGCGGATTTCATCGATTCTCTGACTAATATGTTGTCCATATTTAAATCTTTGCATCACCGTCGCGAATATAAAGCGACCAGAAAAATAGGTGATGGTGTGATGCAATGAGGCACCGTAGGATATGTTTCTGAGACGCGGCCACTGCCTCTTAGAACCGCCTGTTATAAACAACCAAACTGTGGTTGACGAAGCAAATCAAACAGTCTCTTTCAGAAGAGATGATCGTCAGCTTAAATTAAGATTCTCTTTGAATAAAAAGAATGTCTGTTCTGTAGTCAAATTTTATTGACTTAAATGCCCCAAGAAGAGCGTAGCAAGCATTAAACTCCTCCACTGATGGTGCAGTATGGTAATGCAACAAAAGTATTTACCAACGACTATTCCATGAGAAACAGCGCAATTTAGTTAGGTACTAATAAGTGATGAATAAAATGCGCGATTCCATGTGGCGTCGCTTCCCGGTCGTTTTACTCCAGCAGTTTGGGGTCGTGGCGTTACCTGTGTGATGCCGGACGTAGCAAATTTACCCCTGAACCGGCACAGATGTTACGTCTTTCGCATCAGAATTTCTCTTGTGACCGAGCAATCAGAGGAAATACGGTACGCGGTTGAAGAGGGTTCCGCAGAGAGGAGTGACAAAAATGCGGTAAATAAATGCGCATCGCTTCGCCGTGACTTCCGCGCAGTGCGGTTGTCGCACAAACAACGACAGTTTTCTCTCTCAGCGAAGATTTGCTTCTGACCTTGTTCATTGATGTTGCATGCTGGCCCCGTCGTCCTCGTCTGTTATGTTTCAGTTCCAAGCCCACAATTTAATCTAAAAGATCTGTAACGAACTATTTTACGTAGCAGAGCCAACCTTTATTACCTGATCATTACGTCTCCTGAGGATACACCTCCCAAAAAGTGTAGGTCAGAGGATTGTGAAGGGTCAGAGAGAAGATTCGTAGCATGATTGGGGATTCGTGTCAGAAAATCGATGGATATATTATTGTTGCTAAAACCACCACATAGTTGGTCAGGATTTACCTAATACGGTATAATATCGTAGAACAGTTACTAAAAGTACGGCAGTTGAACAGTTGTCCTTCCTGAGAAATTTTTTGTGATATTGTGGTTATACATTTTTGTGTTTTTCTTGAGTTTCACTGAAAAGTAAGCGAAAATGCGCATTTGTTATAGCTGGTAAATCTAAACTTCAAAGTTACTTACGAATTAGCCTTTATGATCATCATGGGAGCTACGCATCGTGTGAAATGAAACACGACTGAAGTCATTTAAAAAATGAGATAGAACGAGTCTGAACAAGGTAGAGACATTTGTACATTCAAAGAGACATTGTACTGTCGGCACTATGGCAATCTGTAAAATCGTGAAAGCTTTAGGCCGTTGTCACATGTTCGCTGACCGGCTTCTATTGACTGATTCTGTTTGCCAGGTTAGTTTCTGCCAGAGCACTAACCCTGGCCTGACCGCGTGTTGTGGAGTTCATACCACGCAAGATGTTGTGCGCTGATTATGTTTAATTTAATGGCATTTACTTCTTTGAGATTAAACTACTGTGATTCTGAGTCTGTTAATTATGAATGTAATATTTTCTACACAAATGTTTAGAAAATTCTTGTCATTGTGGCTGTGTAAGTAGGCAAGTAAATGAATAGAGACAAACAAAGGAGATTCGCTGTTTGAGCTGTTCGAATCGTTTCGTAGAACTTCTTATTCATTTGGGTTTGGGTGTACTACCCTCCCTCTTCGAGGGCGATGAGCTGAGAAACTCAGTGCTTGCAGGCAGTAAACTCTGCTGAAGGGGAACTTCCGTGTATGAATTTGTTTTGTTTACTATGCTCCTGGTTTACGTGATGTTGTGCCCTGTCGATGGAATAGTTTCAAGTTTCATCAGACTGTTTCCCATGGGTAAGAACGCGCTTCAAAGCTGTATTTTCTTCTGGGTGTTTTTTTAAGTAATGAAGTCGAGCAGCTGACGTTCATTCGGCATGAAAAGATCTTCTGCTAGTCGTATGGCTATTAATTTATATTTTGCACCTGAAGTTGACTATGTCGCTAGGGGAAATAATCTAGTCTGTAACCGAGTCGAAAGCGGCGTTAGAACTTTCTCTAAACATATCCGGTTTCCTGTTTACTGTTTACCGTCCGCCGCCGCCTGGTTCGTGTATTGCTTATATATGATGGTATCGTTTAGGTTATTTCAAGATAAGTGGATCCAAAAATGAAACGATCGACAAATTAAATGTCGCTACGGCGGACGGTATACAATTAATACAGGACAGGGCAACAGGACAATTTGGGCCAATCTCCACCTCTTAACAACCCAGGACTCAATTTTTCCATCTAGGCGAAATATGCGAATTTAAGTAGCAAAATGTAAATTAGTAGTGTTATTCTCGATAAAAAGAATCATTTTTGCCGTTTTTGTATAATACTAGTTGATTGATGACCTTGGAGCATTAAGAAATGATCGTATCGCGCAGTGTGACAGCTGATGCTGGTAGAAAATAACCCTGATTTTAAAACTATTGCAGTCCCCTGATTTTTTGGTAAAGGGTTCGAGTTAGAGTTGAATAGTTTTGTGTAACCTGTAAATGATTTAGTGTAATTACAGTAGAATAATTCAGATATGTGAATCTTTTAAATTAATAATAGCAGGAAGCATCAAACGGTCGCTGGGAAATAACACAGTCGCGGCACCATTATTCTTGTAGGTCAACCCGATGCGGAAACAACTGACACCGTGCAAATCTTTGTAACTCTGAAGTCGGACCGAGCCCGCGTTTGTCAGAAACGTCGGTGTCTCTGTACTCAATGTTTGTAATTAGGTATTTTACGCTTTGTTCTTCAGTTTATGACTTTTTGAAAGAACTCGTATTTGTAATTTATATGTGGTGTAAAGATTATCATATACATATATATGTTTATGCGTGG